TTCATGATTACTTTATGTTTACTAAATTGTAGGAATAAAATCAAGTAGTGGATGATTACTTTATAACTCTTATCTTTTCTCTCTCATTTATTAATGATATCCATAGATTTTTAATTAATTGTTTCAATTTTATTATTTACTTTTTATCCATACTACTAATAATTTTTCTTCTAATAAAATTTTAATACAACCTTTTATGAGTTCATGTCATTTTATTATAAAATATTATAAACTCATATTAATTTTGTAATTATTTAATTTTACTTTGTTATTATGAATTGATATGAATAATATTTTTTTAAATGGAATTCATTATAATTAAATATTAGAACAATAAAATTTAATAATACTTTATATTAAATATTGTCTCTTCTAATAAAAAATTATTTTAGTTGACGTAAGTTTATTTTAATTATTTACTATTTGTTAATATTAAATATATCATAATAAAAAAATATTTACTATCAATAAAATAAAAAAAAATTAAAATTTATTATTAAATTTGCAATTATCTAGAAAGAAGAAAATAGTATACTAATAATTGTTATATATTTCATTCTTATTCCACACAGTTTTAGTAAACAACATGAAAGGATATCTGATTTCGATTCTAGGAAATTTCTAGTAAACAACATCAAGATAAATAACATTCTCATCCCGATTTATTTGATTCTGATTCATTGTCATTCCAATTTCTATAGCAGAAATTGCTTATCGCAAGTGTACGGGTCAAGCTTTAATCAAGTGGTAAGTCAATACCGATATCATCTTCTGGATTGGGTTTCTAGATCATCCTCTGGATTGGGTTTCTAGATCATCCTCTGGATTGGGTTTCTAAGGAATTGATTTCACCTATTGAATCGATGAACCAACTACTTAATTAATCAAGATTGAACCAATTATTAATTCTATAGGCCAAGAACTCTCAAAACCACCTCCCGATCTTAACGACTTCTAAASGACTTCTAAATCTCCCGATCTTAAAACCCTTTTAGTTATGCATCCCAATTCTAACTCTAAACCACCTCTCCCGAGCGTAAGATTTCAAGTCTAAAATCAATCAATCTATGGCCAGTAGATTCAAGGCATTAAGCATAGAGAAGCATAAGTAGAACATTCATCAACATTCAATCAAGAAAACTAAACAATCAATACATAAAGTTCGATGGTTAAATCAATTATCAATCCCTAAGATAAGAGGTTTAGCTTCTCATATTCAATGGAAAACAATAAAATCACAATGGGAACTCCATAACAAAACTAGAAAAAACAAGAGAAAGGAGAAGAAACTATGTTCCGCGTGTATCAATCGTCAGTCCCCGAAGCGACCTCCACGATCCCGAGCCTTGAAAATCTCTTTTTTAAGCTCTCCAATGGTCTCTTTGCCCTCCAAATTGGCCAAAAGGGGCAGCGCTCTAGGCCAGCGTCGTGGCTCTATCTCCTTGGATTTTTGGCTTCAAGTCTTGTTGTTATTCCATCTTGGTCACTTTGATTTGTCATGAAGAAACGAAAACTAACAAATAATTTCAATATAAATCTCATGAAATGTAGCTCACGAAGTGTGGGAGGGAGGATTCGAACTCATGATCTTTTGGTTGGAGATAGGTGCCTTAATCAATAGAACTATATGCTCGCTTTGACCATATTTAAATATTATTAAATATTAAAATGGCACAACATTCCTCTACTCATTTTAATATTTAATTTCATTCATCCAATGTTTTTTTCCCCAAAAGCAAAGTTTACATCTTATTTATAGTAATCGAAAAGACATAACCCTTGGACTAACTAATCTAAATTCAACCGAAACCCCTTCAAATCCATACATGAACTATCTTAAATGCAAATACATGAATTTGAATGGTACATAATACATTAGATATGATAATGAATCTCCATTTTGGTAACAAATCCTTGAGAATTTGATATAATTAATAACCTCTGCTGATAAATAATACATTTAGAACTCAATTTAAAAAACCCCAAGAAATTATAGAATCAACCTAAGGAAAATAAAAATCAAATTATAGTTGTTAATCAAATATCTCAAGATAAGAAAACTAGTTCCTTGTTTGAGATTTGAATCACTCCACAAGCAAAGATACTCATTTGAATGATCTTAAAAATGCAAACTATCACAAGATGGCAAAGTACATTGACTCTTGGCTAAAAAAGAACAAAAAAACCGCAAAATCTCATTTCATTACATCTAAATTCTCATCTATTGACACAATTCACATATGTAATTCATGGATTGGTGCCTCTCAACAAAATTATCTTGAAAAGTCTTCCAAAACAAATCATCAATATTGTGGTTATCATGACGTCTTTGCCTTTCGTGAAAATTTATGCAAAAGAATGTTAAATGGCAACAAATGGACCTCACAAAAACTCCTCACATATTGCTTTCTAGGAAGATGAAAGGTCACTCATGTTTGCACTAAAAAATGTAGAAATACACCTAAGACTTATAATGTCTCAAGCTTTAGCAAGTTTTACAGTATTCTTATGAAAATCATGCAAGAACACTTCAATATAGTTTAGAATGTGAAACGTCACAAAATTTCAAAGTTAGAAAACAAGTATAGAAAGATGCAATGGTCATAATTTTTTTCCCTTGCGCTGCAATATAAAAAATGAAGAAAAGATATATAACTCCCTTATTCGAGGTGACTCTCACAATAATAATGAGAATAACCCTAATAATTAGAGGATAAACCAACTCTAAGAAAGTTAAAAAAAATTTACTTGGAAAGATGATCAATGATCAACAAGAAAAGAGAACTTGTTCATATCTTCAAGATTTTAAACTCTCCACAACCTAATTGGTCAAAGTGGATTGAAAGTTCTAACATATTCATTCTAAACACAAAAATACAAAAAAAAAAAAAAAACATACAGCTTTGAGAGAGACAAAACTCAATTTGAAATTGTCCGTTCATCTAATATTGTCCTAGTTTCCAAAGCAAAGTTTACATCCCTATTTATAGTGATTGAGAAGACAAAAGAAAAGACATAACCCTTGGACTAACTAGTCTAAGTTCAGCAAACACTCTTTCAAATCCATACATGAACCATCTTAAATGCAAGTACATGAATTTTTGAATGGTACATAATGCAATCTTAGATATGAGAATGAATTTGGATTTCCATATTCATTAAGCTTCTTTGACGAAAAAGTGCTTGCTAAAACTTGAATGAATATAACTCTTTACCAAGTATGAACACCTTAGTTGAAGATTTTCATATATAATAATTGCTTGCACGAACTTGACCATCAATCCTTGAAGCTTCTTTGCACAAAATCTTGTAATTTGCCCTTGAAGTATAGTTAGCACTCTCATGATCATATCACCTGTTTGATGACTAGACTTTACAACCCAATATTATATGTGCTATCGTTGACTTGCAATTTCATCATATTGCACCTAAAATTTGGATAAATGTTTGAATCTTCACTTTGAACTTAAAAAAATGTGGCAATTTTTACTTTTGGATATATTTTCGTTTGAAGAATCATTGAAAAATGTATTCTCATGTGCATTGAATGTATTTAAAACATATATTTGATATGAAATAGATATGATTTAGTTAAGAAAATAACATTAGAGAAGGTTTCTTATTGGTTGAAATTTGTAAATTTTGCCGAAATAATTTAATAGCCAATTCTGTGTATAAATTTAATTTAATTTTGGGTGAAGCTCAATTTTCACTAAATTTGTGAGTTTTGGAAGTTTATTACATTATTTTTTGTCAAAAAAATTGGATAGATGGATAAAATCGCAGCACTTATCTTCTAAGAAGCATGGACGATACGGACACGTGATACGAATACGACACAACACAGAAATGGTGACACGTTATTTCTTAAAAGTCTAGGACCACGTACACAGAAGAGCATATTTATTAAAATATACCATTTTAAAGTATATATCATTTTATTTAAAAAAAAGGTATATATCATTTTAACACTGGAAAGAACTCAACGTCAATAAATTTATGCATTTTTATACTAAAAATGACTTTGATGCATTTTACCCTCAATTTTTAATTTGTCCTATAATATTATTTATGCCTATTTTTTTTATTAACAACGGTTTGATACATGTCTAACAAGTATCAAATTCATAATTATTTTTAACAATTAGTATGTGGTAAACATCTATTGCGCTAACATGTATTTGATATGTGTCTGAAAAATGTTGGAGTGTTCGACATGGACACGTTACCCAAATTGAAGTGTCCATGCTTCTTAGCTTATCTTAATTTAAGATCAAATTTGTTGAAATTGAAAGTTTAGGTTAAAAAACGATACAATTTGTTAAGTTTAGGAGTAAAATTGGATTATTTTCCTTTTTCTTCAACGAGAAACCATGCAAACATTGTTATGTCATTAATATATATCCAAAATTAATTTTATTAAGGACATTAACTTTAGACCATTTAAAAGTATGAACTACTCTACAAAATTCAATGACTATAACGACATTGTTTAACTTCAGGAGTAGTAATTAAATAAACATAGAAATCATAAATATAGATCCCCTTCTAAATTCTTTGATTTCTAAATAGCTTATTATTTTCATTTTTCTGGAACCATAGCTTGGCGACCAATATCTCGACATGTAAGATTCTGATTGGCTATAAAAGGACTCAGTAGAAAATTTGGATTCAATTTATTGATTTATTATTATTTTTTGGAGTTCAATTCGACTTTTGAATGGAGAAGAAAAAGAGAAAATGGTGACTTTTTTTCAATTCAATATCACAGAATGTGGGGAAAGGAAAGTGGACGGAGAATGGGCCCTTTTGAGTGGGCGTGAACAACAGTCAACAACATTACGTCTCGTCACTGTTCATACTTAATTTC